CACACTCCCCTCTGCTCACTACCAGACTGGGAACTTCCAGCTTGGGCCCACAGCACAGACCCTCCATCCTGGGCTGATTGCACTGAGAGATTGCTGCGCTGCATCTCTCTGGGGTGGAGCCCCCAGGAGGCATGTAAAAGGCCCTTGGTGACAACTACTGCTAAGGTCCTTTTCTCTGTGCCTCCAAGTTGAGGAAGGAACATAAACATTGAGATCGCCCCAGAGCTGCAGTGGGCAACCCAGGAGTGCCAAGCTGCAATCTACAGCCAGCACTCAAGGGGGAGAGGAATCCATACTTTCAAGAGTATTGGGAAGGAACACAGCTGCAACTGTGATTCCACATAGAGGATCCACACCACCGAGCAAGAGCTTACCAACTGACTGGTATTCCTAAGTGCCACCTACTGGATCATGCCCGAAAACCTCAACACCAAAAACGCCTTGCTAAGACATTCCCCTCTGAAACCAAAGGCAAGAAGTCACCTTCAAATCAAGACCTGAGTAAAGTGTCAGTCCTGTGAAAGCATTCAAAAAAGAAGTCTATTGACTGTACTCAGTCTACACTGAAGTTAAAGGAATGCCTACATGCAGAGATGAGAAAGAACCGGTGCAAGAACTTTGGTAACTCAAATGTTTTTTTCCTTTTGGTAACTTGTTTTGTTCTGTTTGTTTTGTCTGGTAACTTTTTTTTTCTTTTGCTGAATATCGCCCTAGCTATTGGGCTCTGTTTTGGTTCCATATGAATTTTAAAATCATTTTTATAGTTCTGTGAAGAATGTCATTGGTAGTTTAATTGAAAAAGCATTGGCATTGATTCTATGAATTGTTTTGGGCAGTATGGCCATTTTAATGATAGTGATTCTTTCTATCCACGAGCATGGACTATTTTTCCATTTGTTTGTGTCATTTCTCATTTCTCTGAGCAGTGTTTTGCAGTTCTTTTTGTTCAGATGTTTCACCTCCCTGGTGAGCTGTATTTCTAGGTATTTTATTTTGTGTGTGTGGCAATTGTGAATGGGCTGGTATTTCTGATTTGGCCGTTGTCTTGACTGTTGTTGGTCTATAAGAGTACTAGGGATTTTTGTACATTAATTTTGTATACTGAGTGCATTGGAGTTTTTTATCAGCTTAAGGAGCATTTGGGTCAAGACTATGGGGTTTCCTAGATATATAGGATTATGTTGTTTGCAAACAGGTATAGTTTAATTTCCTCTCTTCTTATTTGGATGTTTTTTATTTCTTTCTCTTACCTGATTGCTCTCACCAGGACTTCCAATACCATGTTGAATAGGAGCGATAGAGGGCATCCCTGTCTTGTGCGGGTTTTTTAAGGGAATGCTTCCAGCTTTTGCCCATTGAGTATGATGTTGGCTGTGGGTTTGTCATGAATGACTCTTATTATCTTGAGATATATTCCTTCTATACCTAGTCCACTGAGAGTTTTTAACATGAAGCAGTGTGGAACTTGATAGAAAGCCTTTTCTGCATCTGCTACGATAATTGTGTGATTTTTGTCTTTAATTTTGTTTATGTGGTGAATCCCATTTACTGATTTGCATATGTTGACCCAACCTTGCATCCCAAGGATAAAGCCTACTCGTTCATGGTGAATTCAGTGCTGGGTTCAGTTTGTCAGTATTTTATTGAGGATTTTTGCATTGATGTTCATCAAGGATATTTATTGGCCTGAAGTTTTCTGTTTGTTGTGTCTTTAACAGGTTTTGATATCAGGATGATGCTGGCCTCCTCAAATGTTTTAGGGAGAGTCCCTCCTCTGAAATTCTTTAAAATAGTTTCTGTAGGAATAATATCAACTCTTCCGTGTACATTTGGTGTCATTCATCTGTAAGTCCATCAAGTCCCTGCATTTTTTAGGTTGGTAGCTTCGTGATACTCAATTTCAGAGCTCATTATTGGTCTGTTCAGGGATTCAATTTCTTCCTGGTTCAATCTTGGGAGGGCATATGTGTCCAGAAATGTATCCATCTCTTCTGGATATTCTAGTTTATGTGTACAGAGGTGTACACAGTATTCTCTGATGGTTATTTGTATTTCTGTGAGGTCAATGATAATATTGTCCTTGACATTTCTGGGTGTGTTTATTGGGATCTTCTTTCTTTTCTTTATTAATCTAGATATTTTATTAATTTTCTCAAAAATTAAGCTCTTGGGTTAATTGATCTTTTGAATAGTTTTTCATATTTCTATGTCCTTCGCTTAATCTTTGATTTTGGTTATTTTTGTCTTCTGCTAGCTTTGGGGTTGGTTTTCTGTTGGTTCTCTACTTCTTTGAGTTGCGATATTAGGTTGTTTAAGTGAGATCATTGTAACTTTTTGATTTGGGCCTTTAGGACTATAAATTCTCATCTTAAATTGCCTTAATTGTGTCCCAGCGATTCTGGTATGTTGTATCTTTGTTCTCATTAGTTTCAAAGATCTTCTTCATTTCTGCCTTAATTTTATTATGTACCCAAAACACACCCAGGAGCAGGTTATTAAATTTTCATGTAATAGTATGGTTTTGAGTACATTTTTTAGTTTTGATTTGTAATTTGATCGCACTGTGGTCTGAGAAATTGGTTATGATTTTTGTTTTTCTGCATCTGCTGAGGAGGGTGGTATACCTGATTATGTGATCGAGTTTAGAGTATGTACCATCTGATGACGAAAATAAGGTATATTTTGTTGTTTCTGGGTGGTGGGTTCTGTAGATGTCTGTCAGGTCTATTCGATTCAGTACTGAGTTCAGGTCCCTAACATCTTTGTTAATTTTCTGTCTCAGTGATCTGTCTAATATTGTCAGTGGGGTGTTAAAGTCTCCCAGTAACATTGTGTGGGAATCTAAGTCTCTTTGAAGTTCTCTAAGACTTGCTTTATGAATCTGGGTACTGCTGTATTGGGTTCATATCTGTTTAGGATAGTTAGGTCTTCTTGTTGGAGTCAATCCTTTAAGATTTTGTAATAACCTTCTTGGTCCTTTTTAATCTATGTTGGTTCAAAGTTCATTTTGTCTGAAACTCATATTGCCACCCCTGCTTTTTTTCTGCAACCTCCACCTTCCAAGTTCAAGTGATTCTCCTGCTTCAGGCTCCCAAGTAGCTGGTATTAAAGGCATGTGCCACCATGCCCAGCTAATTTTGTATTTTTAGTAGAGATGGGGTTTCTCCATGTTGGTTGGGGTGGTCTCAAACTCCCGACCTCAGGTGATCTGCTCTCCTTGGCCTCCCAAACTGTTGGGATTACCTGCATGAGCCCGGCCACCCTACCACTTCTTGCATCTCTCTCTGCCAACTCAAGTGTCTGTGGTGCTTGAGGGGTCTCCTCCTGCTGGAGTTCCAGATGCTTATGGTGAGAGCAGGTTGCTCCTTGCATGGTCAACTCACCCATTCACCCAGAGCTATTGGGGGAAAGAAACAAGTCCATGTGTGCAGTCACCTTGTGTGGGGTTCCCAGCTTTCTCCCCCTTCAGCTAAGCTTCTGTGTCTTCCTTGCATCCCCTCTCAGTGCCTCACCTCTGAAGATCTGCTAGGAGTGCACAGTCATCTCAATCCCTTGGTGGCAGCTGTTTCACATGGCTGTGTCTAATTGGCCATTTTGCCTTCCTCTGGATTTTTAAAAAATCTTTTTCTCTTGAATTTTGCTAGTTCTGAATATAATGTGAATCCCCAAAGCCTCAGGTGTTAATTCATGTTAGTGCTCATGATTTCTGGTAGTTTCAGGTATGAATTTCTTTACCTCAGCATTTATTATTTGGGTTACTAATACTAAATTGAACGTTTTCTTTCTTACATCAAAATTTTAGATTTTATTTCCTATTATGAATCTTTAGAGAATGTTACATATGGATTAATCCATTATTACTAAATTATTAAATTTAAGGATTTAAAACGATATTGGAAGAAGTGCAAAGCATTGCCATCTATTTCTAGTTCTAGATATAATTGTACATTTTCACAGTGTGCTAGTAAGTTTGCTGTTTTGATCATAGTGTTAGCAGAAGATGTCATCTAAAGGTCTACATAAGCTTTTCATTTTTTCTTCCCACTATAACCCTCTTTCCAAATAGAACTTAGTATGGGATGCTAATATCAAGCATATTAAAGTGGTGTTTTATTTATATACATGTATTATTTAATAGTGAGAATAATTCACTTTCCTAGAAACAGGGCCAGGGCAAACACTGGGCCCAGGGTTTGGCAGGGCCAGGGCAGTTAAGGGCAGTGCAGTGACAGGGTCATGAGATGGACAGACTAGTTTTGATGTCAGCCCAGGGCAGGGCCAGAGCAAGGTCAGACATGTCCAGGCCCACAGAAGGCAGGGCCTGGGCCAAGGCAGTGCCAGGGTAGAGCAGGAATAATGCAAGACCAATGCAGGGAAAGGCCAGGGCACAGAAGGGCAGGACCATGACAGGTCAGTGCTAGGACAAGGGTAAGGACATGGCCAGGAATATGGACAAGGACAGGCTCAGGGTAGGCCAGGGTCAAGGTAAGGCTTTAAGCAGGGAAGGGTTAGTGCCAGGGTTTGTGCCAGGACCAGGGTAAGGGCAGGACCATGGTAAGGTCTATGACAAGGCTGAAGCAGGGCCATGGCAGGGCCAGAACGCTCACAGGACTGTGGTCAGGAGCACGGGCAGTGGCAGTCCAAGGTCGGGGCTGGGATCAGCCCTTCTCTAGGGAAAGAGTGAGGTCCAAGTCAGGGCAGAGCCAGGGCAAAAGGGCACGACCAGGACCAGGACAAGTTCAAGGCCTGGGCAGGACTAGGATAGCACAGGGCCAGGCCAAGATCAATGCAAAGCCAAGGGCTGTGCCCTTGCCATGGACAGAGCAGGACCCATAACAAGACAGGGCCAGAAAGGGGCCAGGGCAAGGACAAGGCCAGAGAAGGGCCAGGGGGAACTCAGGGCCAATACTGGTCCAGGGACAGCATCAAAGCAAGGGCAGGATCATGGGAAGGCAGGACCAGTGAGGGTCCAGAGCAAGGGCAGGGCTAGGACAGTACCAAAACCAGGACAAAGGAAAGGTAGGGACAGGGCAGGAGAAGGACAGGTTAGAGCCAGGCCCAGTGTAGTAAAGTCCTACAATAGCACAGGGCATATCCAAAAGCATGGCAGGGCCATATCAGGGGCAGTACTAAGAGCGGGGCCAGGGAAAGCACTGGGCCAGGGTGTGGTGAGGCCAGTACAGAGCCAAGATATCGGATGACAGGATAGGACCAGGGCCATGTCATGGACAGGGTAGGCCAAATGTCAGCCTAGGGCAGGAACAGGAACAGGAACAGGCTGGTGAGAAGGCAGGGCCAAGACCATGTGTGGGTAGAGAGGGCTGGTACATGGTTGATGCAGCGTGAGGGCAAGGCCAGAGCATGGAAGAGCAAGGGAAGGGAAAGGGCAGGTTTAGGGTCAAGGTCTTGATAAGGGCAGGGATAGAGTAGGGCCAGGGAAGGGCTGGAATAGAGTAGGTAACAGTAGGCTTGGTCAGGGAAAGGCACTGCAGGGACAGGTCCAGGTCAGGGCAGAATCAGGCCAAATGCCAAGGCCACACTCAGAGCAGGGCCAAGTCAAAGGCGGGACGAAGGTATGGCTGGACCAGCATAGCAAAGGGCCAAGGAAAGGCGAGGGTAACTAGGGGCCTGAGTAGGGCCAGAACCAAGACAGTGCCAAGGCCACAAGCAGGTCAAGGCCAGAGCGAGGGCAGGACTTGGACCAAGTCAGTGTCAGGGCTGTGGCAGGACGAGTGGCAGGGTAAGGGCCATAGCCAAGTAAGGGCCAGGCCTAGGACGGGACCCTGACAGACAGGAAGTGTAGGGCAGGGTAGAGTCAGGGTAATGGGTAGTGTAGTGCCCAGTCTGGGCTAGGCAAGAGCAAAACCGGGCAGGGCCAGAGACATGGCAGGACCAGTGCTGGGCCATGGTCAGGGAAAAACCAGGGGCAAGGTCACAGCGAGGGATATAACAAGACCAATGCCAGGACCAGACCCAGTATCAGGGCAATCTCAGGGTCAGGGCAGGGACATGACAGGACCAGGGCAGAGCAGGGGTAGGGTAACCCAGACCCAAAGCAAGCCAGGGCCAGTGTAATGCAGGGGCAGGGGATGGTAATGCAGGGACAGGGAAGATTAGGGAAAGACATGGACAGAACAGGACCCATAACAAGATAGGGCCAGAAAGGGGCCAGGGCAAGGGTACATCCAGAGAAGGGTCAGGGAAAAGGTAGGGCCAGGGATGGGACAAGGCCAGGGCAGACCAAAGGGAGTGCCAGGGCAGAGCAAGGTCAGGGTAGGGAGGGCTGTTGCAGACCAGGTTATGGCTTGAGCAAATTCAGGGGTGAGGCAGGACTAGGATAGCACAGGGCCAGGGCAGAACCAGGGCATGGTAGTACCAGCACAGGGCATGGTCAGGTCTATGGCATGGTCAGGGCAGGGTGAGCACTCTGCCATAGCCAGGGAAGGTACAGGGCTAACACAGGGCCAAGGAGGGGTCAGAGAAAAGGCAGGCCTAAGGTGGGTCCAGTTTCAGTGGATGCCCAGTGTGGGGCCAGGACATTGCCAGGGCCAGTGTAGGACCAGGCCAAGGTGTGGCTAGGGAGAGTCCATTGCATGGTCATAGCCAGGGCAGAACAGGACCAGGAAAAATCAAAGGCTGGGTCAGGATGGGATAGCAGGACAGAGTGGCAAGACTAAGGTATCCCAAAGCATAGCCAACAGCAGGGCAGAGGCATAGCAGGGGCAGGACTAGGAACAGAGCCAGGGAAAGCACTGGGCCCAGTGCATGGCAGGACCAGGGAAAGCACTGAGCCCAGTGCATGGCAGGACCAGGGAAGAGGAGGGCAGGGCAGGCCCACGGTCATGCCATGGACAGTGTAGGTCTGGTGTCAGTCCAGGGCAGGGCCAGAGTAAGCCCAGGGAGAAATCAGGGCGAGGGCTAAGACATAGACTGGGTAGTGTAGGACCAGTGCAAGACCAATGCAAGGTGGAGTGCAAGACCAGTGCAGGGTGAGGTCAAGACAAGGCCACAGAAGGGCAGGACCATGGTAGGTCAAAGCCAGGAGTAGGGCCAGGACAAGGTTAGGGCCAGGGCCACGAATATGACAGGACCAGGTCCAGGGCTATGCCAGAGCAGGGCAAGGGCTGGGCAGGACCAGAGCCAGGTCATAGAAAGGACAGGGCAAGTGCCAAGGCAGAGCCAGGTAGCACCAGGGTTGAGTGACTCTGATCCCTGAGTGCAAAGGCTGAGGCAGGATCAGGGAAGGTCCTGGGCTGAATCAGGGTTCGATGCAAGATGGTACTGGGGCCTAACCTGGGAAGCATGAGGGCCAGGGAAGGGTTAGGCAGGGCAATTGGAGGACCAGGAAATGGCAGGGCCAGATCAGTGCTGGGACAGGGTAGGGCCAGACCAGGATAACACAGGGTAAAGGCAGGGCAGGTCCAATGCAAGGCCAGGGTCCAGACCAGGGCCAGAGAAGGTCAGGGGCAGGGACAGGACCAGGACCAAGACAAGGAAAGGACAATATCAGGACCAAGGCAAAGCCAGAGCAGGCCACTGACATGGCAGGACCAGTAACAGGGCTAGGGCCAGGCTAGTGATAAGGCCAGGTATGGGACTAGGGCCAGAACAGTTTACCAGGGCAGGGCTCAAAAAAATCAGGGCCAGAGCCAGCCCAGGGGTAGGGCAAAGCCTTAAGTAGGGAAGGGTCAAGACCTGGGTCCATGCAAGGGGCAGGGCAGGGGCAAGGTCATGACCAGGTCTAGGACAAGGCTGGGGCAGGGCCATGGCAGGACCAGGGTCAGAAGCAGGGGCCAGTGCCAGGCCAAGGTCAGGGCTGTGGCCAGGGCTGGGCTAGCAACAGGTTGAGGGTCAAGGCAAAGCAGGGTCAGGGGAAAGCGACAAGACCAGAACAAGAGCGAGGTCAGGGCCAGGGCAGGACTAGGATAGCGCAGGGTCAGGGCCAGGGCAGGACCAACACAGAGCCAGGGGCTAGACCAAGGCCAAGGCTGGACCAGAGACAGGGCCACAGAGAAGGCAGGACCAGGGATGATCCAGATCAAGCACAGGGATGGGCAGAACCAGAACCAGGACCAAGCAGGTCAGGGCCAGGATAGAACAGGGTATGGCCAAAAGCAGGGCAGGACCATAGGAGGCATAGAACTAGGAACAGAGCCAGGACAAGCACTGGGCTAGGGTATGGTGGAGCCAGTATAGGGTCAGGACAGTGGATGACAGGACAGGACCAGGCCAAACGTCAGGGCCAAGTCGTGGCAGGGCCAGCATAGCAGAGAGCCAAGGGAAGACCAGGGCAGGTAGTCGTGGCCAGGGTAAAATCAGGGACAGGGTCCCAGCCAGAAACATGAGAGGACCAAAGCCAGGGATGGGAAAGGGCCAGAAGCAGGGCAGAATCAGGACCAGGGAAGGGCATTTCAGGGCCAGGGCTTGGGACTGGGCAAGTTCAGGGCCAGAGCAAGGGAGGGCTAGGATAGTGCAGAGCCAAGGCAGAGTAGGGCCAGTGTAGAACAAGGACAGGGGCAGGGGATGGCAGAGCAGGGACTGGGAAGGCCAGGGCCAGAGTCAGGTTTGGAACATGGACAGGGTAGGACCAGAAACAAGGCAGGACCAGAAACGGGACAGGGCCATGGTAAGGTGAGAGAATGGACTGGGAAAAGGCAGGGCCAGGGAGGTGCCTAGAGTATATCTATATCTGGCATCTGGTTGTGGCCTCAGGGCCATACTATTAAGATTGCCCACACGTTCCCCTTAAATAGGACATCTCGATGGTATCAGTCCTATCACCCTCTTAACCAATAACAGGAGTGGTATGCCTGAGCTGGTTGCTGATTTCTTGGAGGATGAAAGAGACCAAAATTTGATAGGGGATATCCATGTTGAGAAGGATTTTTCTGACTGTAATAAGCTATGTTTGATGAACCATAATATGTATGATGTGGGATTAAGAATTTTATGTACTAAATAATAGTAATGTGGGTAAGGTTTAATGTGGAATTTACAATAATTTATCACAGTTAAGCAATTTTAATATGTGCTTATATGTATGTCTTGTAATAATGTTATATACATTATAGTAGAATGCACTCTTTATGATCAAGCATTTATAGTACTATATGTTAGTCATGAGGACCAACATTATTGTATGAAGTACATAATAATAATGTAATAGTGCATTATAATGATGGCCAGTACTGGCATATCAGTTAATGTTGTATCCCTAAGAAGCACAGGGAATAATTTAAAAAGCTCTATCACCTTATTTCTAAGTTTTTGAAATTATGATTTATGTATTATTTTCTCAATGTCTTTTAGCTTGTTTTAAAATCATAAGTTACAATTTTAGTGTTTTGTCTGCATATCTTTTTTTGCCCATAGGAATGTTGTTCTTCTTATTCTCTGTTTTCTTTTAATAACTCTTTATGATTTTCGACCAAATACTTTTTTGTCACTCATTTTTACTGAAAACAATTTTCTCAAGCTTTTAGAAGGAGGAATAGTTCAAGGGGCCTTTACTAATTTCATATCTCTCCCTCTCCTGTTTTTGATTTGTCTTTTGGTTTTGTTCTAGTAAAGTGTTAATACGGCGGCTCACTTTCTGAGACTTCCTGATTCTATATCCCTCCCTCACTTGTATCTGGGCTTTCTCTTTTCTTTGTCTCTGTCACCATTGTAATAGCCCAATTCTGATTCTCCTCCCAGAAGTTTCTCTTCAGTGCGATGTCCTGCCCTGGAAAGGAGCTTTGGTTGGTTGGTTTGAAATTCATGATTCCTATCCTTCCCTGTGTCCTTTCAGAACTTACCAGTGGTCCTTACAGCCACTTTTTGGTTTGATGAAACCCTTCCTAGTTTCAACTGATGTTTTCACATAGGTCTGCAGTGATTTGGTTTATGGTTGCTTTGCTGTTTCCTATCCCCAGTTTTCAGATGCCTTGTTGCTTCCTCCTCCTTCCACCACATTAACATTAATGTGGTTCAGCTGAATTCTACCAGACATACAAAGAAGAGCTGGTACCATTTCTTCTGAAACTATTCCAAACAATACAAAAAGAGGGAATTCTTCCCAAATCATTTTATGAGACCAACATCATCCTGATTCCAAAACCCGGCAGAGACTCAACAAGAAAAGAAAACTTCAGGCCAATATCCATGATGAACATAGATGCAAAAATCTTCAATAAAATACTGACAAGCCGATTGCAACAGCACATCAAAAAGCTTATCCACCATGATCAAGTAGGCTTCATCCCGGGGATGCAAGGCTGGTTCAACATACGCAAGTCTATAAACGTAATTCACCACATAAACAGAACCAAAGACAAAAACCACATGATTATCTCAATGGATGCAGAGAAGGCCTTTGACAAAATTCAACAGCCCTTTATGCTAAAAACACTCAATAAGCTAGGTATCGATGGAACGTATCTCAAAATAATAAAAGCTATTTACGACAAACCAACAGCCAATATCATACTGAATGGGCAAAAACTGGAAGCATTCCCCTTGAAATGTGGAACCAGACAAGGATGCCCTCTCTCACCACTGCTATTCAATATAGTATTAGAAGTTCTAGCCCGAGCAATCAGGCAAGAAAAAGAAATAAAGGGCATTCAAATAGGAAAGGAGGAAGTCAAATTGTCTCTATTTGCAGACGACATGATTGTATATCTAGAAGACCCCATCGTTTCAGCCCCAAACCTCCTGAAACTGATGAGCAAGTTCAGCAAAGTCTCAGGATACAAAATCAATGTGCAAAAATCACATGCATTCCTATACACCAGTAACAGACTTAAAGAGAGCCAAATCAAGAACAAACTTCCATTCACAATTGCCACAAAGAGAATAAAATACCTAGGAATACAACTAACAAGGAAGGTAAAGGACCTCTTCAAGGAGAGCTACAAGCCACTGCTCAATGAAATAAGAGAGGACACAAACAGATGGAGAAACATTCCATGTTCATGGTTAGGAAGAATCAATATCGTGAAAATGGCCATACTGCCCGAAGTAATTTACAGACTCAATGCTATCCCCATCAAGATACCAATGACCTTCTTCGCAGAACTGGAAAAAACCACCTTAAACTTCATATGGAACCAAAAGAGAGCCCGCATAGCCAAGTCAATTCTAAGCAAAAAGTACAAAGCGGGGGGTATCACACTACCAGACTTCTGAGTATACTACAAGGCTACAGTAATCAAAACAGCATGGTACTGGTACCAAAACAGAGATATAGACCAATGAAACAGAACAGAGGTCTCAGAGGCAACACAACATATCTACAACCATCTGATCTTTGACAAACCAGACCAAAACAAGCAATGAGGAAAGGATTCCCTGTTCAATAAATGGTGTTGGGAAAGCTGGCTAGCCACGTGCAGAAAGCAGAAACTGGACCCCTTCCTGACACCTTACACTAAAATTAACTCCAGATGTTTTAAAGACTTAAACATAAGACCTAACACCATAAAAACCCTAGAAGAAAATATAGGCAAAACCATTCAGGACGTAGGTGTAGGCAGGGACCAAAACACCAAAAGCATTCACAACAAAAACCAAAATAGACAAATGGGACGTAATCAAACTCCACAGCTTCTGCACAGCAAAAGAAATAGTCATTAGAGTGAATCGGCAACAAACAGAATGGGAAAAAATTTTTGCAGTTTACCCATCTGACAAAGGGCTGATATCCAGAATTTACAAAGAACTAAAAGAGATTTACAAGAAAAAAACTAACAAGCCCATTCAAAAGTGGGCAAAGGATATGAACAGACACTTTACAAAAGAAGACATACGTGAGGCCAACAAACATATGAAAAAATACTCATCATCACTGGTCATCAGAGAAATGCAAATCAAAACTACATTGAGATACCATCTCACACCAGTTAGAATGGCGATCATTAAAAAATCTGGAGACAACAGATGCTGGAGAGGATGTGGAGAAATAGGAACACTTTTACACTGTTGATGGGAGTGTAAATTAGTTCAACCATTGTGGTAGACAGTGTGGCGATTCCTCCAGACCTAGATATAGAAATTCCATTTGACCCAGCAATCCCATTACTGGGTATATATCCAAAGGATTACAAATCGTTGTACTATAAGGACACGTGCACACGAATGTTCATTGCAGCACTGTTTACAATAGCAAAGACCTGGAACCAACCCAAATGCCCAACGACGATAGACTGGATAGGGAAAATGTGGCACATATACACCATGGAATATTATGCAGCCATCAAAAACGATGAGTTTGGGTCCTTTGTAGGGACATGGATGAACCTGGAAACCATCATTCTCAGCAAACTGACATAAGAGCAGAAGATCAAACACTGCATGTTCTCACTCATAGGTGGGTGTTGAACAATGAGAACACATGGACACAGGGAGGGAAGCACTACACACTGGGGTCAGTTGGGGGGAAATAGGGGAGGGACGGTGGGGAGAGATAGCAAGGGGAGAAATGCCAGATGTAGGTGATGGGGAGGAAGGCAGCAAATCACACTGCCACGTGTGTTACTATGCAACAATTTTGCATGTTCTTGACATGTACCCCAAAACCTAAAATGCAATAAAATAAATAAATGGGGGAAAAAAAATTCATGTGGTTACTGTTGTTTGTCTCCATGAACTTGTATTTTGGAGTTTGTGAGCTGGTTTGTCATCTAGTTTTGTTGTCCATGGTGTTTTGGTTTTGTTATGAGATTACTTTGTATCTTTTTAGGAAATGATGTGGTGAAATCAGAAACTATTCAGAATAGTTCTTTTCTTTTCTATTTGGATGATCTTACCAAATCATCCCCTAAATCTATTGAAACAAGAAAATCTATCCAAATAGAACAAACTATTTTGTGATTACTCAGGTTTCCTGTCATTATCAATGCTTAAAAGCTGGGTGACTAGGTCATTGCAGGATTTTGAGCAGTGGAGTGACATGAGCTGACTGGTGTTTTTAAAGGCTCTGTCTTGTAATATACTGAGAATAGACCACAGGAATGGAAAGGAAGACACAGGAGGAACTATTAGAAGAATATGGCAGAAATAGGCAGGGTGCAGTGGCTCATGCTTATAATCCCAGTAGTTTGGGAGGCCTAGGTGGTTGGATCACTTGAGGTCAGGAGTTTGAGACCAGCCTG